ATATATATATCTTACCAGAATTTTGAGAGCTCTGTGATATAACTGGGGTTAAAAACCACATAATTCCTTGAGCAAAATTAAACTTGCTTCTTTAGCGAATTAAAGTAACAGTACCAGCCAGTTCGTAGAAAATCACCAACTTTTGAGACACTGCCCTGATCATTCTGCCCATTTGACCGAACCAAGCAATAAAATCAGCAATAAACTGTTTGAATCTAATACACAATTAAAGGAAACGATTTCCCAAAAACTCTCAATCAAGCCGAATGAAAAAATAACTATTTTTATAGGAATATATTAGCATAAACCTTTGTATTAAAAAATAGAGCCACACTGCCATATACAGGAAGAGACAGCAAAAACTTGAAAAAAATTAATAATAAATTAAGAGCACAGATAGACAGACAAGCGCAAAGAACGCAAAAAATGTTACGTTCAAAAAATGACTGGAAAGCAAGAGTAAACCAATAATATATTAGGCTGAAAAATAACCAAATAAACAAACATGCCAAAAAAATACAAAAGAAATTAATAATGTAAAACAACCGCCAAAAGGAGCCCATAATATTTGCCGAAAAATTCCAGTTTAACTTCAGCATTACAAAAAAAACATAATAAATGATAAAGGAAAGAACTGGAAGCGATGATTTGGGTTTTGCTATCTTGGAATGCACCGTCGGAATCACATTAATGTCAAGTAGAAATAATAGTGTAAAAGAAGCAAAAATAAGACAACAAACCTAACTAAAGCTGCAGGACCAGCAACACGAAATAAGAAGTAATTCTCTTTTCTAAAAAAAAATAAAAATAAAAATAAAAAATGAATAAAACGGAAGAAAAAAGAGAAAAGTCACTACAACAACAGTGTCTGAAACAGAAAAAAAGCGAAATTTAGGACCAGTTATTCATTCATCCATTCATAAAATCTTACAGAGTAAAGGACTGAGAAACGAACGAAGCTCAGAATGTAGCAGATTATGTCTTTTAGGATCCCGAAAGCGCAATCCTGATTCTGATACCTATATACACGACAAAAGACATCGCAACATATTTGGCACTCTGCAGCAGCGAAATAACAGCAATAAACATGCCAAGTGATATGCTTACCTCTTGCAATAACAATGTTTTCAAAGGCCGGAAGTGGCTTCTCATCTATACTACACGTTCTCACCAAAGAGTACATAAGACTTACAGAAACGACAGATGAACAAAGATTAACGATCTGCAAAAAAATCCAGTAGACCAGAAAAAACCAATATATTATCCAACATAAAGACACCTAAGATAAAGATTTTCTTCAAAAGGCAGTAAGAAACAAAAAGAAATTCGCTATGACAACGTTCACAAAAGTTCACAGTCAAAGACAGAAGACGCATCGTTGTCGGCGAAAAGAAAGAGCGAATGAAAAAACACCCACATTGAATTTTGTACAAAAACCTGATACAAACAGAGAAACAAAATAAAAAAAGATGGCGCAGTCGATAAAATGATGGTGTGATTCAAACCGGCAATTGGAAGACTGCTCCCAAACAATAAAGCATTGGAAGGGATGACGACGATCCCCCTCTAGTTGCGTTGAATAAAGAATGCGTTGAGACAAAGAGCCACTGCGCACGCTATCACCACAAAAACGAACTGAAAAGTTGTAAAAAAATTTTAAGGGTTAAATGCTACGTGCCTCAGTCAAACTGTATTACAAAAGAAAGAAATGTTCTTACCATTAGAGGCAACAACAAGAACTAAAGCACACTATACAGTGCAAATACATTCAAACAAATACAAAAAAAACTTTAGAGTTGCAACTCATCACTGCAAAAAAAATCCTTACCACGATTGCTACAGCATAATGGGTATCCGAAATTAAATAATATTGGATCCGTTGCATGTTACTCATTTTGTGCGAAGCCAGATGTTCAGGGTTGCCCAAAAATACATCCTCTGCTGCCCTGGTAGGTGATGAAGAGATATTAGACGGAGTTACATATTGAATAGGGGAAGGTACAGAAACACTTTCAGCTCCGTTCCTTATTCTGACAGACTGCACTCTTAGCTGCAGATTTTCACTTGTGGATAGAGAGTAAGAAGTCGAGACTCCTTCATATACCTAAAAGAATTAATCTCTAGAAAATTACAGAAGCAAATATTCACATATGCACATAATGTGAAACTGAGTAGAAATTGAGTGGCCAAAGGCTGACAAATTCTGCCATGTATGTACCGTTTTCCACATTGGACCATTTGCGGTCCGAGGAGCAGTTTGAAGTCTATAAAAAACAGAATCACTAGATGTCGACAATGAAGAAGAGTTCCTTATTGGTTGCCACTCAATCTGGAAAGATCCAGAAGCGACTTCGTTAATCGTAGGAGGAGTACGAATTGGAGGAGGTGGTAGCTGTAAAGTGGTAAATTCGTACGGTTCCGACCACTCTCCCATACCAGAGAGGCGTGTTTTACAACGTATACGGAAACGATATTTCGTATTTTCAGTAAGATTCCGTACTTTATAGTACCGACCTTCTCCTTCAAATATCTGAAAATGTAAATTACTAACGATTTTTGATGTCAAAAGGGTAAACTACGCAGCCTAGTGCTTCCCTACAAAAACTAACTCTCGAAAATTTCCCGCTGCCATTTTCTCGTTCCAAATAATAAAGCTGAGAAGAGGGAGGAGAAGAACTGTTAGAAGCTGGCTTCCATTTCAGTTTCAAAAACGTTGGACTAGCTTCACCGCAGATTAAAACTGGAGCTGGCGGGGGCGGAGGAGATGTTCTTGCGATACACACTGACGCACAACTCTCACCTACCTCATTAATAGCGTGCAGCATCAGCCTGCAAAAAGGGTAAGATGGTGTAGTCGGTAAGTTAAAAGAGAATGAACACAAAAAAAAAGTGTAACTTACTTGTACAGATGATCAGGCTGCAGGTTTTCTATGTCAAAAGCATTCTCAGTAGAGGGAATCTGGTTCTCACAGACTTGCTCGCCGGTGTCTTCATCTGCTACAATTAACCGGTAACCTTTCAGCTCGCTCCCATTTGAAGGCGGGACACGCCATGACGCTCGCAGCTGCCCGCAGCCTAAAAAGCCATAACTCAAAGAGAAATCAACATCAGAGAAAAAGTCGTAAGAGAAAACTGCTGAATCATACCTTGAGCGCTTGCCTGAAAAACAGGTGCAGGCGAAGGAACATCTGGAGGAATATACAAATAAACACATTCGCTAGGAACGCTCGTGCCTCCAGCATTGATAGCAAAAACACTAATTTGATATTTATAACCGTAACGCCCATCACCAACGTATAAAGACCGTTCTTCTGCGGCTACATTACGCGAAGTCCAGTCCAAATTCGATTCGAGCTCATCTTTCTCGATTGCCCTATGAAAGATTTTGTAACTGCAAGAGGCAGTTAAAGATGCTTCTTTCGCATAGATTTCTGAGATTTCAAATAAAAAACAACTCCCAAAAAAAGATATGTCCCATCCAATCATGAATCGAAGAACTCACAATACCTTTGAGGTTTTGTAAAAATAAGACGCTCCACCAGATATTCAGTGATTGGAGCACCATTTTCTGTGACAGGAGGAGTCCAATGCAATTCATTGTTTTCATCCAAATGAACATCTGTTGGGGGAGGAGGAGAACGTGGAGCAACTTGCAGTGAGGAGCTTGTACTCCATTCACCTTCAGTTTCAGTACCATCATTTCTCACAGCAACACCACGAACTTGTACTTCAACCTCTGCTCCGGGAGCACAGTTCTGCATTTCGTAAGTTGTTTCTTCTCCTGAAAATAAAATACTTGATGGCCTTAAAAGTGCTCATTGAGACACCCAAAAATTTGTAAAGCTTACACTATTTGCAAGATATAGAAGAAATCAAATGAAGATTCAAGACCCAATTCCTCTGAATTCCCAGATACTACTCTAAAAAAGTGAAAAACAAAATACACTTTACCAAACGATGGTTGAAAAACTACGCAACGAACCCCTATAGATGATTGAAACTTCCGGCTTCAATGTCCGTAAGTGATACTTAATCCGCGGCGGCTGCGTGCCAATCAAAGGATCCCATGATACTTTTACACATCCTTCTGAAAGCTCCTCAAGCCTCGGAGCTTCACACTTCCCAACTCCAGACGACGCCGCCCGTTTTTCTCTCTTCCTCAAAGTCAGGATTTCACTCCAGTTGCTCTAAATGTAAAAAATTTTAATAATTTGCATATATGGTTTAGCAAAAAACCTCAATATGAAGCAAAGATACTAAAAAGAACAATGAGAATACCTGAGATTGGAATCGACAGGCAGAAACTCGAAATGCACACAAACTCGTGTCTCGAACAATAGTACTTGTAGCATTACCCTTGTAAATTACACTCCAATTCTTTGGTGGATCATCTAAACTACCTTCCAATACATACTCTGTCCTATCGGACATGGAAGACGGTGCCGGCTTCCACCCTATCTCGAGGCGCGAATCCACGTTTCTTGCTCGGAGCCTAGTTGGGGTGGCTGGCGGAGAGGTAGGAGGACTAGTAGGAGGCCTTGGAGTTCTAATTATCAGCGGTTCAGATGGTTCACTGTCACCAGCTTCATTATGGGCTACCAGACGAAAGTGATACTGACGATTGCTGTAAAAAAAAAAAGTAAAAGTTCAAAAATCTGACAAGCTAACTGAAAAATAATTATAAAATATGATTTACAGTTGAAACTACAGCTTGCGAGCTCGCTTTGACTATTATTTCATTTCAACTGCCACCCCCTTATTAAAAAAAATGAAAAAAAACTGAGAAAAAGAACAATGGCTTTTACCAAGATAGGTCGTTCATCGCAAAATAATCTTGACGTGCTCTCTCCAAAAGAACACAGACTTGTGAAGGTCGACCTGCCTCGGACATTTGCAGCTAAATAAAATAATTTTTCAGAAATCCTCAAAAAATCGACCGTATGAATGACAACAACTATATCTGAGTATAATATTAGTGAGAACATACAGAATACTGATGATCTGCCAGCATTGACCAAGAAAGTTTTATAGTTTTTGAAGAGAGAAAGGTAAGCTGTGGGGGTTTGGGAGGACTAGGTGGCTGAGGCAGCGAACATGTTTGAAAAATAGCATCACTAGAAGGTTTAGATTCGCCTTCATCATTAGCAGCTATTAAACGTATCCGGTAAGTGGTCAAAGGTGCCAATCCATCAATAACGGCTTTCTCCTCTTGTCCCTCATAAACAACCTTATAAACTCCATCCTTACTCTTTTCCTAAACGAGTCATAACAAAGCAAAATGCGCAAAGAACGACAGAAATAATTCGTTTTCAAAATAACAAAGATTAACAGTGAGTACGTACTGGTGCTAATTCAATGCGGTAAAATCTTATGGGGGATCCATTGTCTACTGCAGGAGCCCAACGAATTGTTAGCGAGTGATGGGACTTAGAAACGAGATGTTGTGGCGGTCGTGGCCGCTCAGGAACCGCACAAAGAGTCCGGAAACTAGTACTACGAGATGCACTTCCTTGTAAACCTCTTTCTTCAAGTGAGGCTCGCAAGTGAACATAATAGAGAGTGTTTGGGCGTAAAAGGGACAATGTCACAGAGTTACCGGTAGTCGGGTCGCATCTAAAACGTCAAATGAATTTGAACTTGTCTTACTAAAGAGTGGTGAAAACAAATATGGTTTTGTTTTGTCTTTCTGACATTAGTACAAATAAATTAAAATGACAAAATAAACTGACCTATAATTGCAAACAATACGTCCATCTACGGAATTTTCAAATAAAACAATCTCGTATGAAAATTCCGATGCATCGATCTGTGGGAACGGTCCGCCTGATGCAGCAGCTTCAGATGTATCTAACTCCTGCCAGGTTAAATCAACATCGCGAGCCCCTATTCGAACTATCTAAAAACGAAAATAATTTATTAATCCTGCAAGAAAGAAGCACCCAAAGCACGAAGAACCAAGCCCTCACTTCCCCTGAATTCACAGCGCACGAGACAGTTACAGTCGCCACTTATTTGGCTGTTTTAATTTTCCCGTAAAAGCACAAAAATGATGCTAGACGCAAACTGACCCGAGGTGACTGCACTCGAGACAACATTTCTCCTAACCGTTCCCATTCGTCGTCCTCATTAGCTGACGCTCCTGACTGACTCAACTCCTAAACCATTCGTTTTAAAAAGTTACAACAAACAAGAGTAGTAAAAAAGTTACTCCTTCATCCAAAAATGTTTTATAGTCAATCTACTGACCTGCTATAAAAAAAAACTATTTCTTATAATGCTATTATTCCCTTATTACTTTTTAGAAACTTTAAACTTTGATTTCCAGATAAGGATGGGAAGAACTACCAAATCACTTTACGAGTAATAAACGTCCATTTCCAATTCTACAGTATAAAAGCGAAGACAAAAAATTTAAACAAATTAGAATGAAAGAAAACC